AGTTAATAATCTATTTGTTAAGACATGGATCAGTAAGTGTGCAAAACTATATGCTTTCATGCTGCTGAGTGTGTTGAAATGCAGAAGTTGGAAGCAGAGTTTTTTATATTTTTATTTCCCTTTTTGTTCATGTGAGTTTTCTAAATTCTGAGACAGCATTAGCTTAAAAGCTGTTCAGTTAATCCAGACAGAATGCAAAATATCTGCTCCTGTAGAGTGTGTCCAGCTACTTTATTTTGAATTCTTCTTGGGTGTGTATATATTCTCATTATTTTAGCAGGAGATCATCTCCAAATTTAACTATTTTTTTTTTTTTTGAAAGAGTAAGCTGGAAGATACTAATTTTTCTTTTACAAAGATTTAAATTCAATATGTGAAATTTCCTCTCTTTTAAGCTTCATTAAATAGGTGCCAGACATAAGGTGTCAGATTCCATTGCTAAATTTCCTTATATCCTTAGGTACAATAACCTTGTAACTGCTCTGAGTTCTGTTAGCCTGTATAGGTGGTGATTTTTCGTGATTTTATTGCTCATACGCTATTTGTAGTTTTTCAGCTTTATTACTGATTTTGTAATTATTTCCATTGTTTAGCTCACCTTACTAAGAATGTTTACTTCCTCTTATTTATGTATTATGACAATAAATTAGTGTTATTTGCTGTGTTCATGACAGATTTTTAAGATAGATTTGTGTTCATACTTCTGAGACTTAGTCATGTACAGGCTGTAGTATGTCTGTATATGGAGAGGACTTAGCAACAGTTTTGTTCATTTGACTTTATTGCACTCCTGTGGATTTCTGCTGTTTTCTTAAAGACACTCTCTTAAGTTGTCTTCATATCTAAATAGAAATTACCTGAATCTGGCTTAACCTTCTTGCTGACAAGTTATATTCTAAATATTCTCTTGATTTAGAGAAGCTGCCTCCAGGCTGATGTCCTGAGTACTGCAAATAAGTCTCAGTAAATAAAAGCTTTTACTTTATGCATATAAGCATATTAACAACACTTTTTGCTTTGTGAATATCCTCCCATGGCAAGAAGTGCTTTGTCAGTCAGAGCAAATTTCCTACATATTCCAACTGTAAGATCCAATGTGATTTGAAGCTTCTGAAGGGAAGCAGTTGCCCCAAACTTATTTTCTCTTCAGGTATCTCAGAATTCTTACACTTTTGTAGCATGTAAGGACACTGTCGTCATGTGCTGTTACCTGAGCTACACAGCTGCAGAGTGTAGTGGGTCATATTGTCATATTTGACTCTTGTCTTCTATTGAAGTAGATATTTCAGTTTCCTTAGTCTATTCTGAACATATTGCGAAGGAAACGAGGCCTTAGATATATAAAATACTCTGTAACCAGCTTTCATAACTTGGTGGACCTTTCATTCAGCTAATGATAGTGTTTATTACTCTCTGATTATCCTCAAAACCAGCCAGTTGCCCTGAATTCAAACCATGTTAATATTGAGAAAGTAAAATTACCGTAGTAATGGTTTAGTTTAAGGATATGTCTGCTAGATGATGTTTTTCAGAAATAGTATCTTGCTAGGCATAGCTTAACTCTAAACATTCCTGTTTAGAGCAGGAAGGTATTATTCTTTAGCTTACTTAAGGGAAGTCTTAATTTTGCAATTTTGAATCACATTTTGCAATTCAAATTTACTATGCAATGGAAAAAAAATAGATATGTATTTTTAATTCCTTTGTGGGATTCTTGCAGATCTCATTTACTTCATCTGGAGCTTGGTTTGTTTGGTGCTGCTCAGGATGAAGTTTATGTCATAGCACAGTGCTATTGGGTACAAGTGGGTCTCGATGAATGTTGTCTTCTGTAATAAAAAGACTGCTTCAGATCTTGGACTTTCTGATCGCCGTAGGTTTTTAAAACAACAATAACTGACGAACCAAATACCATTATAGTCACATAAGCTGTTTAGAAAGGATTTATATCACTCACTGTAGTGAGTCCATCAAGAAAACTAACATTTTTTTCACTGCAGTGCTCCATATCTACTCTCCTTTAGGTGAGACAACACACGGGAAAGTCGGTTGGCCTCTAAACTCATGCATGGAGCCTTAATGTTATGTTAGAGATGTGTATGTGTTGTTAGTGTGTGTGCTGTCCTTCTTCCCTTTTTTTATTTAATTCTTTCTTACTCTTTTATTTAAAAAGTATGGTAAGTGTTTGAAACTGAGGCAGTCTGTCTTCAGATGTACTGTTACCGGAAAGTGGTAATTAATTCACTCAATAAGACTCAATTTTGGAGTTTTAGAAAGCAGGGATTCTTCATTATAGCACCGGACACACAGGGGATAGCTCCTCCTAATGTGTGTGTGAGAGAATGAAATCAACAAGCATTTATACTACCTTAATCATACATATTCATTGCATTTTTATCATAGTCATAACTTTTCTGGGAACTCATTTAGCATATGTTAATGTCTCCTGCGCATGTCTGTTGGAGTCTTCGGGTGGTCGTCGGGGGTCCTCAGATGAAGGCTCGTAGTCTTCTTCACTGTGTCCGACAGCTGACCCTTACTTCTGTGCAAACGCAGTCCTGCATTCACATACATCCTGTCCTTCAAGGCTGGCCTGGTCTGGTTTGTTGCTAATTTGCAGCTTCTTATCTTTATGTTTCTTTGAACCTGCCACTACAAGGCCAAACCGTCTCTGGTAAGATAATTTATGAGTTCCTTATCCTACAGTTATTCCAACTATTCCTCAAAAGATCAGTATTTGTTTTGCAGCACAATTGTTAAATGGTTAAAACATCTTAATCTGCTCTTAATAATGCTATTCCACAAATATATATTTTCTAATAATCTTAGTTTGCGGGTATCAGTACCACTTTGGTTGGCGGATCTCTGCTCATCTATCTATTGCTGTATAGGTAAAACGGACTGAAAGTCTCTCTGGTATCTAGCACAGTTTTGCTGGACATGTGAATAAGAAAGATGATTAACCAAACTGAAGGTGGTGGTCTACAGCATCTGCAGTTCCTGGATTTATGCTGCCCTGCTCTGGCTACCAGCCTTGTGTGGTGTGCAGCATTTGTTGCCTTTCCATTTACTTGTATTGCCCTGCTCTCTCACATGCAGACCTCTGGGAATCAGCAAGACTCTTCTCTTCCAAGGTGGAAGTATCTGGCTTTCTGCTGTTAAGCTGTTGGTAGTCCAGAGAAGAATCTACACTACTTTGTTTGTAGGTGGCCAAAGCAGGAAAGGAAACTGGGGGAAGTAAGGACACTTAGCAGGCAGGTGAAATTAAGGGGGCCAGTCACAGCAAGGACAGTGGGTAAACTCCAGAAGGAGGTTAATGGTGGTAGTGATGAACCTGCCTTCACATCACCAGTTCCTTCCAAATTCCCGTCTCTCTAGGTAATTTAATGTTCAGACTCTCATGTTGTTTTCCTTTCTTATGCTAATTTACCCTAGTCAAATTACTTTGGTTTTGCTTCTGACAACAGATTATATACTTCAGGCTCCCCTCCTGCCCTGCTTTTCCTCCACCTGCTACAGTACAAGGGTAGTCACTGATGCCATAGTTGCACTTCTAAGTGGTGTAGATGGTGTTCAATCATAGACTTTGGAGTTGGGGAAGGTGTTGATAATAGATTCATCTGAGAAGAACAGGTGACTACTAGGCCTCAGTCACCTTTACAAATGCAACCATTTTTAGAGGCCTGGAAGTAAAGTGGAGGTGTCTAGGCTGGTGGTATGGCTAGCCTTTATCCTTTCCTGCTTCTTTCACTGCCTAAATAAAAATTGATAAGTTGGGAGTAGATTTCAAGTAGTAAGTAGGGTGACAGTCACCTTGATTAGTCTCAGGTGCTAAAGATTTGTACCTATGCTTGAAAGACTGGACTGATGTGTGATGTGGTTAAAATGTTTCTGCAATATTATTTGGAACCCACTGCTAGAACCTAGTGCTGCTACCAGTGACTCAAATCAGGCCATGCATTTGAACAGTGATCCTTAGACACATATTTAGGAAAAAAACCCAACCAAACAAAACAAACAGAGAAAAATCAGACTAAGGCTTTTTGAATAGAGATTTTGTTTTAATCTTTTTACCAGAAGTTCCTATAAAATGTGCTCCTCTGTCAGTGTAGCAGTCTTGGCAGAGCTGGTAAAGGGAGTTGGTAATCATAGAATCATAGAATGGTTTGGGTTGGAAGGGACCTTAAAGATCATCTAGTCTCAGTGCCCTTGCCATGGGCAGGGACACCTTCCACTAGATAAGGTTGCTCAAAGCCCTATCCAACCTGGCCTTGAACACTTCCAGGGAGAGGGCAGCCACAGCTTCTCTGGGCAACCTGTTCCAGTGTCTCACCACCCTCACAGGAAAGAATTTCTTCCTTACATCTAATCTAAATCTACCCTCTTTCATTTTAAAACTGTTACCCCTTGTCCTATCATTACACTTCCTGATAAAGAGTTCCTCCCCATCTTTCCTGTAGGCCCCCTTTAGGTACTGGAAGGCTGCTATAAGGTCTCCCCAGAGCCTTCTCTTCTCCAGGCTGAACAACCCCAACTCTCTCAGCCTGTCTTCATAGGAGAGGTGCTCCAGCCCCCTGCTCATCTTCGTGAGCCTCCTTTGGACCCGCTTGAGCAGGTCAATGTCATTCTTATGTTGGGGGCCCCAGAGGTGGACACAGTACTAGGTGAGGTCTCACAAGAGCGGAGTAGAGGGGGAGAATCACCTCCCTTGACCCACTGGCCACTCTTATCTTGATGCAGCCCAGGATGTGGTTGGCTTTCTGGATTGCAAGCGCACATTGCTGGCTCATAGTCACTTTTCCCCCCACCAAAACCCCCAAGGCCTCTGCAGGGCTGCTCTCAATCCACTCATCACCCAGCCTGTATTTGTATATGGTAATACCAGGTAATGCCAAGGGGTTAAATTCTCTGTTTCTACAGCTGCTTTTATTTTGAAGATAGTTACTTTGCACACTCACTTTCTGCATTATAGATCCAAATGTGATTTCTTTGTGTTTCAGGAACACTCCTCATCCATTAATCTGTGTCCTTGAAAACAGACCTGATTGCTGGCCAGTTCTGCTGCAGCAGATAACAGTATTTTTCCATCAGTGTCGAGAGAGGTAAATGAATGAATAATTTAAAAATAGCAAATATAGATAACTGAATCATATCAATACAACATTTTTATTGAAGGCAGCTGCAGTGAGCAATAAGAATTGTCTTTTGAAAAGATAATTATAAAATTTAATGACACCGTGTAAAGGTTAAAATTAGAATATGAAATACTAGAATAATTAATCAAAAATAGACTTCATAGTTTTCTCCTTAACTATTTTATGTTGATATAATTGGTATAGATGTGGCAAAATTGATAGCACCTTTGGAATTTTTTTAAAATAAGCAATCTTGATTTTTTGTTTTGTCAAGATTTTGACTGCTTCATCAAAAAAGATTTCTAGGATGCAGGTATAACCCATATATACAAAATGGTAGGATGGTAAAGGGAAAAAAGAGATTATTATATCTCACAATAAAGGAGGAGGTCTTTAAAAATGATACATGCTTCTTGATTAAAAACCAAAACAAATAGAAAAAAAAAAAACAAAACAAAACAGGAAAAATCATTGTCACGGTCTTATTATAAAATGCCTTTAACGATGAAGAAATATCCAAGCTGCCAACAATTTCAGCATTTCTTCATGTTTACCTCTAAGGAACTTGTCCAATAAAACTTCAGTATAAGATGGAAAATGCTCTAGCAGCCTTAAAGCCAAATGTTTTCAGAGATTTTATACCTATATGTATACTTTTCAGGTTAAAAGTATCTCTTTTCTTCTGTTTTGCGGAAGACTCATACAAATCCAACAGAGTAATACTACAGTGAAGTTGACTTCCATATTCTATTGCTCTGAATAAGTTCATTAATCTCTTAAATATCTAGTGGGCCTAGACAACATGGTCAACAGTAGGACTGTCAAGGAAAAGTCTTCTACTTAATTGATCAGAGTATTTTTAAAGTACTGTTTGCATATTTGTTTTTCCGCTCAGCTGCTAAATCTGGGACTCATGAGCAGTTCTGTCAGATGTCTGAATGACGGAATGAACTGTGGATTTTTTTGCTTGTGGCTTGTTTTGAATTAAAACAGGAGTTTTAGTTTGCTGCAAAGGAAAATGTCTTAAATTTCCTTTGATTCTTTTTGTACAAAGGTTTCTGTGGAATAAAGTTCTAGACTGAGAATATAGACTCATTTAGGTTGGAAAAGACTCTTAAGAACATAAAGCCCAACCATTAAGCTAACATTACCAAGTCCACCACTAAACCATGTCCCTAAGCACAATGTCAACAAGTGCCACATATGTTGATGTAGATCTGTTACTGAGTTCTGCATGAAGGCTGTCTTGTTTAAAACTGATTTATAATTTTGATTCCCTATATATTTGTTAATGTATTGATCATTAGCTTTATTTGATTGTTTTAATAATGTCAAGAACAGCTATTATTCCTAACATGGTCAAGCCAAAGGAAGTGTTATGTGATTAAATTTTTTACTGGGAATCTATCTTGTTTAAAGCAATTCCTGTTTCATGTAATTGTTTGAGACCATTGAGCAAAAACTGGCAAGGAGTGAATGGCTCTTTTTAAATGAAGTTAGCTTTTATGTCTTTTAAAAAGATATTTCTGAATTGTCTTGTCCAAATGCTACTTCAGAATGGCATGCTAGTCTCTCATGACATTCAGCAATGAAAATCACTTTCTTGAATTGATGAGAAAAAAAAGTAGGGTGTCATAATCTGCAAGTACATACTGAGTAGTATTCATGCTTAAATATTGAGTCTTTTCACAATTGCACTTCATTGCATGGTACTATATAAGATCTTGTGACAGTACTTCATGCTAATAAGTCAAAGGTTTCTTTATGAGGTGTAGTACTGCCTGTCATAACACCTTTTTGGCAATTGCATCCTATAGATTATTGCAGAGAGTGTTTCATTGCTTGGGTTTTCCTTGTTTCTTAGGTTTTCAGTAGAAATCAATCCTGACAAACTTATTTATTGAACTGCAGGTCACAGAGTTCATTCATTGGCATAATGACTCCATTTCTGAGATACTTGTATTGTGAACCATCTCAGTTACGGGAATATGCTGAACTGCGAATGGGTTTACTTAGGATGCTACTTCAGCCTCATGGTCCAAATGACAAAGAAGCACCCTCCGTGATGGAATGCCAGATTGTTCAACTTCTGTGTGATTTGATTCCACACCTTCAGGTACAGTTGTTGTCTGGCCCCACCTTTTACAAATAAATGCTATCAACATAATGATAGTATTATTACTGCCTATCAAGTGTGCAAATACAGCATTCACTTCGATTTGCTATAGACCTGATTTGTTGCCAGTACAGAAATCTGACAAACTGGCTCTTTCTGGTAGAAGGTAAATCTTTTTAATTATCTAAATCTCATACACCTGGTAAGGTGTAAATTGAAACACACGTTTACCATGATTATTTGCTGCTAGTTGCCTCAGTGAACTTGTACAGATACTCGTGAGAGAATGTTGTTAAATGGTAAGATATTTGTCAAAAACATGCAATTTTTAACTTAACATGGGTAATATTACAATGAAACAAACTATATGAGAAGCATGATTTCACTTGTTTCTTGCTCTTTGTAACAGAGGGATGAGTGGATCTGAAGACAAAACTTAATGCCTCTGGAATATACTTAAATTTTTGAACGTATTTTTAAATTCTACAGTGATACTTGCTAGGAGCTAGGGATTTAGTCTTTCTGTCCCCTTTGGTTAGGACTCTAGGGTGTTGGTTAAGGTTAATAGCTCTGCTTTGCCTAATGCTTTAATGTGATATTGATTAAGCTTATTTGTACCCATGTACTTCTTCCTTTTTAATACTGGAGTAGCATCTTCAGTTTCAAATCTATTCAGTCAAACATGATTTGCTATGGTATTAGTGCCATAGAAAGAGTGTTTGGTAATACTCATAATTGTCCTGGGTTTGAGTGAGTGATGGGGTATTTGAGTAACAGGGAAGGGGGCTACTGCAATGGCCCCTGTGAGAAGCTTAACGAAGCTCCTCCAGCTCTAAGTTGGACTCACCTCTGCACCAAGGCCGAGACAGTCAGCTGCACTTCTGCGTTAAAGTATTTTAAGAAGGGATGTGGTGAGGAGGAGTTGGACTTGTGAGGAGGAGTTGTGGTAGCTGCATGAACAGCAAGATCAGTGGAAGAACAGGAAGAAAGGAGAGGGGAGGTGTGCCAGAGCAGAGACCCCCCTGCATCCTGTGGTGAGATGGCAGGGCAGCCCCTCCTGCCGCCCATGAAGATCTGCGGTGGAGCAGACATTGATAAATGGCCTGTGGGGGGCAGCATATAGCCAATTAAGGTGGCTGCACCCGAAGCCAGCCAGGATCCTGTGGGAAGAAGCAGCCCCTGCTGTTGTAGTTCAGCACTGGGAGGATTGCAGCATGCGGGGGTGTCCCATGCTGGAGCAGCTTGGGAATGGCTGCAGCCTGTGGGAGGGACTCCAGTTGGAGAAGGTTGGTGTCCCACACTGGAGTAGCGAGGGAAACGCTGCAGCCTGTGGGAGGGACTCATGTCAGAGAAAAGTTGTGGAGGACTGTCTCCTGTGAGAGGGGGATTACGCTGGAGCAAGGAGAACTGGTTCCAGAAGTTCTTTCTCCCACCAAATATGGAAGAAGCGGCAGCACTGACTGCACCTCTCATTCCCCTGCCCCTGTGCCACTGGGGGAAGGAGATAGAGATGGGGGAGCAGATCTGAGTCCAGGAGAAAGGGAGTGGTGGGGGGAAGATGTTCTCAAGATGTGGCAATGCTTCTTACGGTCCTATTCTGTTAAGTGTTGTTGTTGTTAGTACCTGTAATAAATTTATGTTCCTTTTTCCTTCCCCTAATGAGTCTGCCTTTTGCCTGTGACCATAATGGGTGATTTATCCCTCCCTGTCTGAAACTCCAAACCTTTGCTTATTTTCTCATTCTCAGTGGGGGGGGGTGGAAAGGGGGGGAGTGAGTGGGTGTGTGGTGCTCACTTGCCCTCTGAACTCAAACCACAACAATAACATAAAGCTAAATACGCTTGATATGAAGATATTTTGTAGCATCTTCCTCCTGAAGAATTTTACTACAGAAATCTACTTTGTACTGGTAGCCACTTTTCCCAGTGTTTTGGACAAATAATAAGTTGTGTTATACACATTTGCTTGGTCCAGGTCTACTCTTTGGGATGACAGGTATATGCTGACTTTTTCTAGTCACAGGGACATTTCTGTTTTTGTCTTGATTCAGAATGAACTTCAGTATAAGATTTTTGTCCTGAATCTATGATGAAGCTTCTGACTTGGTAACATTTAGCTGTAAAAATGGCGCTAAAAAATACTTACAGATTTAGTTACAAACATTTATTTTTTCCATGCTTATTAGCACTTTTTTTTTTTTTTAACTAGAAATCTGTTGCATTTTTTTAAACTCAGCTTAATACGTGAATGATTTTGTCTTGCTTGAGATAGAACTTTCACAATGGAAAAGGAAATACTTCTTTCAAGAATCCTGTTTGATGGACTGCTTTATAACCTGTCATTACTTCTCCTTCTGTCTCTGAACCTCAGGTCCTTATCCTTCCTTTAAGCTCAGCCTTATGTAGTCCTCTGTATTATATAAATGCCGAAATGCTTCCTAGTCATTTTGTCTGACAGTCTTCTGCTGAAAAAATCAATGGATGTGAGGCTACTGATTAGAGCAGATTATTCATAGAATTTGTTCTAAAGGACTAAAAATCAGGATGTTATCCTTAATACTGGCTCCAGGCTTTGGATTGTAACAGCTGGGTTTCTCTAAAACTAGAATTTTTGAGAGCAGAAGTGCTTTCATCTAACACATTAGGATTTTGAGGCAACCTGCTTCTTGAAACCTCTTTACTTGACTTCCCAGTATGGAGATACTGCTTTTGGGTCTTGCACTTCAGCTTTTCATTTTTGTAGTATGTAGATTATATGGTGCTCCAGAAGCAGGTAACAGCACTGCCTTTCTCTTTTGAAACATATATTAAAATCTTGGTTACATTACAGAGGAAATATCCTAGAGCAGGATGCTTCTGTTATAAGAATATTTACCTGTTATATGAAATCTCCACACAATTTGGTTCATGTTGCTGGGAGAACACCCAGGAGCCTTATTAATTTGCTGTTGCTTTTGAGGAAAAAGGAATTTCTCTCATCAGCTGCCAAGAAATCTTTCTATTCTTTCATGTTTCTACTTTTGATTCAAAACATTAAATAGCATTTCATCTGTTATTTTTTGAGGGTAGCTGGATGAGAGATTCCTGGGTTTAGTTTATAAATGTTTCTTCGAAGTCTTAGTAATATGAGTAATGGAAACATTGGACAGCTAAAGAACTAATTCTAAACTGGGGGAATTCTGCATAGATACGGAAGGGGAACTAAACTAGAATGTGTTTTGGTGTTGTTTTGTTTTTTAATTACCTCTCTACAGCTTAAAGACTTACTGCAAGTTACAGAAGCCTTATTCTTTCTGCAAGAGCTGTTCCTCAGCCTACTGCGCTATCCTGTGTTTTGGAAAGTTCAGTTATCCCAGTTTTGTCTACAAGTGTTATGTTTCTGTGAAATATGTTTAAATATAATGGGAGAATGCTCATCTTTGATATCCTTAATAGAGGACAACTTTGAGCTCTTAAAAGAGGTAAGAGTTCATGTGGGAAGAAGTAAAGTAGTTGTATTAAATTTAAGGAACGTTGTGTTTAAGACAGTATTTAGTGACATTGATACATGGCATTCATCTGCAAGGGACCGGTGCTATTTCAAAGCTTCTAATTCTCTTTTTCTTGGTTGAAGACCTTCAAAGGCAAAAGTGTAACTTTTAGTATGGGAGTTGCTTTAATGTGAGCTAAAACAGTTTCAACAACGTAACAAATTAAAATGCTTTAGTAATTCAGCTAAAATAGTATTTTTACACTCTACGTGTTCTTTGTTGCATATGCTTTGTTGCTGTGTGTGCACTTGAGAAGAAACTCCATAGAGAGTTTCAATTGTTTCCCATTTGTAGTGCTTAATATCACTGACAAACAGAAGACTTGAATCTCTTTCTTTTTCCCTTGTAGGTATTTCCAGTCGAACAGTGTGTAATTGGGATAGCGCTTCTGCTGCTTCAGACACCAGAAAGTCAGCAAAAGTCTGTCTTGAGTCTAGGTAAAGCTGCTCTTGTGAAAGAGGAATCCACACTCTTAAGACTGTGTCTTTGTTTCTTCATGTTTATGAAGATAAGCACTGGATTCCCCTGAAGTTGGATTGGGTGGTGAAATGTTTTTTTAATAATCAGGATTCTTCCTGAATTTAAAAAGTAACATTTCATCTAATGGCAATGAAGATAAATTTTCCTGCTATATTGACTTTTTCCATGGATATTACCGTATTCTAAGTTCCCTGCTATCTTGGAGCTTATCTGTTTCATTTTTGAGTCAACAGCAGAATATTTTCAGCTGACATTCACGCATCCTGAATAGTTTCTTTTAACAGATCTTAAGAGAGCAGGCCTGACAGTCGTGGCATGTTTGCTTGAGCTTTCGACTTAGCTGTTTTGGTTAATGGAGTTATTCCAGTGAAAGCAAAGGACTATGCTATGTTCCACTGTTGTATTTCTTGCTGCAGTCAGTTACTTTGCTTATAAACAACAGAAATATATGGGTGTCTAAACAGAATTGGAGTTTTACCAAAACATCTTTTGCCCTTTCACTCTAGTATGCACATCTAATTCTGGGGATTGTTAATTTGCTTAACCAGAGCATTAACTGTAATGTTTGCGTCATGCCTAAAAGTACAAATTATGTTAGTTCTTTTTTCCCTATGCAATCTTTGGTTTTCCCCACTTTGTCTTAAACAGCCTACAAGCTCCTTTCCTGTTCAGAAATCCGGAACATCTCAACCACTGGCCTTACTTTGGTGATGCCTGTACTACAGATCTTGTCTTCTACAACAGCTGGAGTCTGCCTATCAGAGGATGATTCTGCAACTACCAGGCAGCAGCTGGCTGTAAATCTTTTGGGAATATTACAGGAAGAAGCTGTGAAGGATAAAAAGGAATTGGTAAAGTTATAAGGTTTTTTCCTTCTTTTGGTACAGATAGGGGATTCATTTCAGAATTTTGCTGCATTATGCATAGGTGCCTGGGAAAAACTCTATGTCTGTGAGCTTCTTTGTGTAATGCATTGTATGGAAACACTCACAAATATGTATAGTCCATAAAACTAGACTACTGGTAAAGTGGAAGTGTGTTTGTATGCTAAGTATTGTTTTACTTAGAGATGGGATTTTTTTACTTTCAGAGACTGTATAGATTAAAGAATCTACTTGCATTATTAATCAAGTAACAGGACTTGGTAGAAAATAAGGTTATGTATGCTTACTTTGTCTCTTCCAGACTTGCCTATTCTACTCATCTATATCCTTTTCCTTACCATTGTATGTGACTGTTAGGTACAATTCTTTCTCCTCTGAGTGAAGAGAGTTATGGAGCACATAAGTTCCACTTACCGAATTTCAGCTCATTATCCTGGATGTCTTCATCAGTGCTGTTGGTTTTTTGGTTTTATTTATTTGCCTATGTCCCACTTAGCTGCCCACCACCCATTTCTCCCATCTTTTTCTGAGAACGGATGACAAAGTCTCTGATCAAGATGTGCTTAGCAATGTGGAAGCTAAACTCCCTTTCTGCTTTACACCCTTGTTTTTTGGTGAAGGGAGGGTGGTGATGTAACAAGTTGGAGACAGAAAAAGATTCCAATTCTGAGTTCTGCCATGTGTCCTTGTCTTGGAATTCCTCTCCAACTACATTTTCCATTTCCACAGATATGAAAAGGCAAGCCCATTTGTACTCCTAATGAAAGATAAATGTGTTAAGTTCACTAAAACCTACACTCCTTATTCTGCTCTAAAAGAATAGTCTATGGGGTGGCCTGAAGTGCAGAAGGCTGCTCACTTCCACTTAATGGGACTTTTTAGGTGGCAGCCTGCACAGATGTCACTGGAGGTTTGTTTCAGTGAGAGGTATTCCAAGTACTTTTGTGCTCTGTGTCACTGGCCCATCTGTTTTGTTTTCTGTGGTGTTTTAGAAGCTAGTTAAATGTCTTGCAAGACTACTGGGTTATTGTAGGACATAGATTACAGTACATTGCATAACACTGGCTTCCTGTAACAGAACTTTGTTATACCAATTCTGCTATTCTCTTTGCTTCAAAAAGCATGTGAAAGCTTTTCTCTTAAGGGCTTAAACAGCTTGTGATGACATTAACTTTTTCTGTTAGCCATATTAAACTGAAAAGACACTTATTTTTAGTGGAAATTCTCTAACAGTCACTTCACTTTGGTGTCACTGATAGACATCCTTCTCAAGTTTATAGCAAGTAGCATGGCAGATCTTTGATAATACATGTTTAGCAATGAGAATGGGGAGACACTCATTCTGCTTGTTTGGTAAAAGTATGCCAATAACCTTTGATTCTTCACTGAAAGATTAAAATATTCAGAATTTCTATTTAATGTTCCTGTGGGTTCAGTCCATTTATGTTGTAGGATCAGATTAGTGCTAAGAGAATGCAATCTTTAATGAACTCTCCTTACTTAAACTTTCTCTACACTGGAAATGGGCATGAAAAGAGGTAGGAAAAAGAAGGCAAGTGTTATGTCCACAGTGAGCAAGCTTTGAATAAGATTATTTAAGAGCTAACATGATTAAGTTACAGTATATTTTCTTAGAATCACAGAACAGCTCAGCTTGGAAGGGACCTCAAAAGATCATCTGGTCCAGCCCTTCATGGGAAGGGAAGCCTAGATGAGATTATCTAGCACCCTGTCTAATCACATCTTGAAAACCTCCAGTGATGGGGACTCCACCATGTCTGTGGAGAGGTTGTTCTGTGAATGATTGTTTTCACTGTGTAAAAATGTCTTTCTTATATTAAGATGCAAACCTCTCCTCATACAACTTGTATCTGCTGCTCCTTGTCCTCTCCATGTGGCTCCTTGTAAAGAGAGCTTCTGCCCTTTTAGTAGCTGTCTTTCAAGTACTGGAAAACTGTGGTGACATTCCCATTGAGCTTTTTCATCTCCAGGGTAAAAAGACCTAACTTATAGGGCAGATTGTCCAGCTGTTTGATTATCTCTATGGCCCTCCTTTGGACCTTCTCCAGTCTGTCCACGTCTGTTTTTGAATTGGGCCCAGAACTGGACCCAGTACTCCAGGTGCAGCCTGACAAGCACTGAGTAGAGTGGGATGATCACATATCTATCTCTGCTGGTGATGCGCTTGAGGATGCATCCCAGGATCCAGTTTGCCTGGATTGCTGCAGTGGCGTACTGCTGTCTCACATTCAGCTAATTGTCTGCTTGTGACAGGCTGCCAGCCTGAGTAAAGACCATTGATCACCACACTTAGAGTGCAGCTTATGAGACCGTTTCCTGCCCATCGCACAGACCACTTATCCAGTCTGTATCTTCACAGTTTGTCCATGAGAAGACTGTGGGGAAGAGTGTTGAACACTTTGCTGAAGTCCAGGTAAGTGACATCCACTGCTTTCTCCTTGTTAACAGAAGATGTTATTTTGTAGAAGGTGATCAGGTTAGTCTGGCACAATTTGCCTGTGGTGAATCTCTGCTGGATTTTCCTAATCACTTGCTTCATTCAGTTTGTAATAGATTCTAGGAGGACTCTTCCACCACTTTCCCAGGGACTGAAGTAAGGCTAATGAGCCCATAGTTTCTTGGGTCCTCTTTTGGGCCATTCTTGTAGATGGGTATGAGATTTTCCCTCTTCCAGTCATCAGGGATGTCCCCTGATAGTCATGGCTTTTCAAAGATAATAGACAGCGGTCTTGCACCAATGTCAGCCACTTCTGTTAGTGCACCGCAGTGGATTCCCTCCAGGCCCATTGATTTGTGGGGGTTGAGCCCTTGCAGAGGGCCACTGCTGGTGGGTCAACATATGAGTTGTAGCTGCTTGATACTGTGAGCTGGGGTCCAGCTATGCCAGTAGAGACAGAGGCGAAGGTTTTGAGAACCTCTGCCTTGTCAGCATCACTTGCAACTCATTTGCCTGCCCAGTTCAGTAATGGACCTATGTCTTCTCTGTGCTTCACCTTAACTGCTCACACATCTGAAGAACCTTTTCTTCTTCTTGACATCTCTGATCAACTGCAGTTCTAGCAGAGCCTTTACTTTCCTGTCTGCATCTCTGCATGCCCTAGCAAGGTTCCTGTAATCCTCAGTGGGTATGTGGCTGCCTTTTTGTAGCCGGTATGCTGCATTTTGCCTTTAACTGCACCCAGAACCTGTATTCAGTGGCTTTCTTTTTGGCAATGGTGGTAGTGGGGAATTGTTCTACTTGTAGCCCCAATATTTTGAAAAATGCTAGTATGTAGTTAACCTGTGTTCTACTTTGCCATTGAGGGATTTTTTATATCTATCTATCTATCTATCTATCTATCTATCTATCTATCTATCTATCTATCTATCTATCTATCTATCTATCTATCTATCTATCTATCTATCTATCTATCTATCTATCTATCTATATCTCTATATCTATATCTTTCAGTGTTGGCAAACTGAAATAGTCTACCTAACCTGCATTAATGGGGTGCAGCATTAAAGTAAAAATACAGTGATAGCTTGTTTTCATGCAGCTGAAATAAAGGGAGAATGGAGTGAGTACTGTTGTGTAGCAAAACCTTTGGGGAAGTAATGTGGAATGGGAAATAAAATATTTCAGGCTCTACCAATTCTAGCAGGTTTTTACATGATTTAAAAAAAAAAAAAAAACAACCTCAAAAAAACCTGTAATAGTCTGATCTTGATTTCAAGTCTTGCGATCTTGTAGAGGCAGGCAACTAAACAGTACAACTTAAAGATTCTGAAACTCTTCTTAGCCCACTGTATGTCTTTGGAAAAAGTTTAAGTACCTTTATCAATAAATGGCAGTTTATAAACTGTATCGAGAAGGTATGTTTGGCTCCAAGTGATCTTTCCAGACAGAGAGATGGCATTCTAGATTGCTGAATTTTTCACATGAAGTAATTGTAATGCATAAATAATGGAATAAGCTAATTTTAGTGTTATTTTTAAAAGGTCATCTAAAGTACAGGGGCATTCTATCTTCCATTAGCCAAAATAAATTTCCATGGCATTGAACAGGGTGATTAAAATTAAATTCTGCAGTTTTATGGAGAACAGCTTTTTGCCTTTCAAAATCACTTTTTTCCCTAGTAATTTAAAAGTGAGTGGACCCTGCCCTGTTGGAGTCTGAATTCCATTTTTAATGTTCATTTGGAGACATCTTTTCAAATATTTCTTGGCCTGATTTTTACATAAATGTTCTTTTACTGCCTGCCAACTACTATCCTGATAATGGAAAGACGTTTCTGAAAACACTGCATTTTTTATGGAAAGAAAGAATTAATAGGAAAGAGATGATTTATCTTGGATTAAGGTTTTTTCGTATAGTGAAAAGTTTTGAACTTCCACATTGATTTGCAAGAGCTTTAAAAAGTACATACTTTTACATATAAAAAAGCCTGAGTTAGGTGTATTCCTCATTTGTATTTTACTACTTTTGTGCTTCTAAATGTTATCTTCCATGACTGTATCTATAGAACATTATGTTCTAATAAGTGATACAGTTAAAAAAATGTAAAGTTGTATTAATTTATACTGTAGTGTTTCATTAAGTACTATCAAAAGTTAAGAGAATTTCCTTAAAATAATATAGATGATACTAATGCTTTGGTGAAGCACCTGTCATTGTCAGGAATGGAAGCTTTTAATGTATTGCAGTTTTATTGTGTCCATTTTAGCAAGGAAGTAGCAGGAGTTACTAACAGGAACAGGAATAATGGATGCCAAATAAAGGAGGAACCTCCTAAATAGGGAATTAGCAACCCATTCAAACAACCTTAGTGTAAGAACTCATATAAAGAATTGTGAAGAAATGTATTGCAATTTATTCTTTATACTTATTACATTGGAACCCTAAAAAAAAAAAAATATTTTGGATGACAGAACTGGATTAGTTACATTTTTTTTCTTTGTTCTTTCATCGTACCTTATTTGTTTGATGGAGAATTTTGTTTGTTTCACTTTTTCTCAGGTGTCCTGCAAACTCCTTTTCCCCATAACAAGCTCTTACAGCTCATTGTATACAACCTGGAAGATCATAGGGCTCATGAAAGAGAAGTCTGCAGTTACTAGCTGGTTATCTTCAGTGAAATCACTGCTACCTGTTACAAATCAAGTCCCTGCCCATGTTTTCCTTCTTCTGGCTTATCTACTGATCCAAGAAAATGGAGACAGTCTTCATGATGTACTTCAGGCTACGATGGAAATAGCCAAGGCGGATTGTTCTCAGGTAAAAACTCACTGTTAGTGGATTTCTTTATATGAATTGGGCTGGATTCTGCAGCCCAAGAGGCGCAAGCTTCGTGACCCCAGGTTCGACAAGTGGCAAGACTGCCTATTTTCCCAGTAGGTACAGGCATGTGCAGCACATATGTACACCACATACCTGTGCTTATATGCATATAACACAGACACACAGAGCACTCACACGAACACAAAACAGCATGAGAGGCCCCATCCTGCTCCTCTTTCTGGATGAGCGAGATGGAGGGTCTCCTCTGGAGACAGACTGAGAGAGGGGATTGTGCTGCCTAGAGAGGAGAAATCTCGAGGGACACCTTATTGCAGTCTTCTAGTACCTAGAAGGGGCCTACAATAAAGCTGGAGAAGGACTTTTTACAAGGTCATGTAGTGGTAGGACAAGGGGTAATGACTTTAAGCTGAAAGAGGGTAGATTTAGATTAGATGTAAGGAGGAAGTTCTTCACTGTGAGGTTGGTGAGGCACTGGAACAGGTTGCCCAGAGAAGCTGTGGCTGCCCCCTCTCTGGGAACGTTCAAGGCCAGGTTGGATGGGGCTTTGGTCAACCTGGTCTAGTGGAAGGTGTCCCTGCCCTTGGCAGAGGGGTTGGAACTAGATGATCTTTAAGGTCCCTTCCAACCCAAACCATTCTATGATTCTATGAATATATGTACAATGTATGGATATGTACAGTATGAATCTCTTCAGCAATGGGCATAGACAGTCAGTGTGGCACAGTAGGTAACCCCTGGATTCACACATGCATGCACATGCATTTATCCCAGGCTGACTGGAACTAACCTTTTCTATGTCACTTACAGCAAAATATGTATTATGTTTCTGGTTTGGAGTATTTCTAGTTGGTTAGACTTAGGAAAAAAGACTGGCTTATTTGTTGATATTTTCTAGTAAGTATGAAAATACAACATGAGGAAGTTGAGAAGAGGCTACTAAACCATTCCTGACTTTTAGTGACCTCATAAATTGTTCTCTTTGTTCTTTTGTGTTTACTGGAATACTGTCCAGTCTCTTGTGATATGTGTATTCTTGCTTCTTAAAAATATGTCCATAGTCTTTGTCTGCTTCAGTACTGAATTCAAGCCAGAATTATATGGTATACTTCTCTACATAACCTGGAAGATAAATGGAGCTATCTAGAAATGGTAATAGGTAATGCAGGAGACGTTATACAGAAACATTCATATCTTATTTGTAAAATTAAAAAAAAAGTAGGGAAGGGAGAAGTGTTACTTCAAACTTCAGATGTGCTATAAAGTCAAGCTTTAGCTGCTTCAAGTTTTTTTACATTGCTTTCTGACTTAAAGAGTTATCATACTCTGCAGCACAAGAATTGGAAAAAGATAGAGCTTATGGGATATGCACTTGATGACTTATGGTACTGAGCAATGTAGTTCTAATCCAGGGAAGCAGTCCAGTATGTGCTTGGTGTTGAACACATACTGGAATGTTGTGCTAAACTGGGCCCGTTATACAGTGCTTTTGGAGGTATTATATTTCTTAAGATGGAAAAGTTTTTAAAACAGGTGACAGCTTCATCTGTTGCAGGTTGCGCAATGTCAACCTCTTATGTCCCTTCTCAAATCTCTTTTAGGCTGCCTTTTGTTTTGTTGTTTTCTTGTATGGATGTGCGATATAATGCACTCAAATTGGTACAGTTTTGGGAGCATGTGATTTCTTTAATTTTTTTTTCTTGGTTTGACTGAATTTTTTGCATTTTAACTATTTCCCAAAAAACCTAATTACAATGCAAAAATAATATTGAATACAATGCTAGAAAAACAACGAAGTTATTTTATATTTTTTGGTTTAAATGATGCTAGTTCCAGGTTGGGTTTTTTTCTATATTTAGACACTTGAAATTTGTTAATGTCTATATTAAAGATAGGAATTTGGTTTTTGGATGGTATGTGGAAAAACTAATTCTGAGTCCTGTTCAGACACACAGTAACTGACTGAAAAGTCCAGTTTTAAGTCTGGAGAAAATTGCAGGGTTTTGTTGTAGAATTACTCATCAGGACTGTGAGTGTTACGTGGGTGTGGAAGAAGATGTAGAATCTCTTAATTTACATGGACTGTAAGATCACTTCTATGGAAAAGAGAGTGAAATGTATTATTTACATCTTAGCCAAACCAGCTGTAGCTGAGTTTCCAAGAAGTGTGTAACCTCCAAACACATTTAACTCATTGTGTTTCTCACTACAGCTTAAGGAAATAGACACATACAATACTGTGGAGGAAGGAATGAAAAAGAGAAGGTTTCATTGATCTCTCCTGTACTGAGGACTCCAGGGCTGGACACAGTACCCGGGTGGGGTCTCATCAGAGTGGAGTGGGTAGGGTTGCAGCATACTGGGAAGAGTTGTAACAGTGAAGAGAAAATTGCAAACTAAACTGAAGGGTACAGCGAACTTGAGCTGCCTGGTGGACATCTGTAGCATGCTTCAAACCACAAGTAGACATCAGTTGAATTGAAAAAGTTACTGGGCAATTTGTTGTTACAATGTATCCATGCCTGTACAGGAATTCAATAGGGAGGTGTCCTGCTTTGCTCATTTTGCTGTATTCTGAAGTTCTGAATTTGTCCTGTGCGTGCTACTATTATTATGCTAATACTTGTTAGTATGGTATTTCATTTTAGTGAATACACAGGTGGTGTCAGATTCAAGATGACAGTGTTTATAAAAAGCCTGAACTGCAGTGTTCATATTTGCTTTAGGAGGAACCTGCAAGGTTACACAGCTTATTGACTGTTCAAAATAAGAATAGGATCTAGTTCTTAGATAGTTTTTGTTTTTGAAGTATTTATTCAGGGTCCTTGGTGTACTCCTTGTTGAATTGTGTGTAGATCAGCTGCCCTGGGATGCTACAAGTCTGATGTTTAGTGGAAACACTGAGCTGGGCGATGTTAAACTGATTCCTCAAAGTTAGGCGTCCGGTGGAAATATGCAAAATGAAGTGCTTTTAGTTCTTTTCGGGATATCTTTTCCCATTCCTACTCTGTCCACTTAATGATTCTTTCTTCTTTTCATAGAATGGCTGTTATGTTTTTGCATAGGTGTGGTAGTTTTAGCCCAGAGGGCAACTGAGCACCACCCAGCTCTTCACTCACTCCTTCCCCTCTCAGAAATGGGAAGGAGAAAATGAAGCACAATGGCTCAAGGGTGGCTCACCCATTACAGTCACAGGCATCTCCCCCACTTCCTTCTTTTTCCACTGACCCAGGCACTCACCCTTCTCCCAACTCCACCTCACAAGTCTCAACCTCCTCCTGGGTTCCCTGCCTCCTTAACTAAGTTCTTGCAGAGGCACAGCTGATTGGCTCAACCCTGGCTGGAGGCAGCTCCAACTTGAAGCTGCGGGAGCTTCCAGAAGCTTCTCACAGGGGCTGCTATTGTAGCCCCTGCCCCCCTACCAAAAACACTGCTACAGAAACCCAGCACGACATGGATGAATTCTTTCTCTTAAACTACAGATTTAAAATTCTTCTATTCTGTTATAGCTTTGGACCTCTTCTAGAGGATGGTTAAATAACACAAAACAAGGAAGAATTGAAAAGCATAATAAAAGCATAACAAAACATGCGAGCAAATCAGAACCTCACAGTACTCTAAGAGCAAAAAATTATTTCTTGGACAGCTGTGGCAAGAGGGCACTTGAAGCTGCTTTTGCTGCTTCATGCAGTGTTTGGCTTCCTTTTAATTTGTCACCTGCTTCTTGGTTAAATTAAGATACCCATGTTGTGTGTTGTTTAAAACCTTATAGTGTAAAATAGTGGATCACAAAGGCTCTGATAGTCTATGGCAGGGAGAAATAAATATATTGCACTGATAGTTCATAGGTTACTTTTCCTGACATGGTAGAACTCCAAACTACCTATAAAAGACCAATTTACCGAATGGTGGTGGTATTGCTACTGATCACCAGGTACAAAGGCACACTAATGTTTTTGGAATGAGCATGGGTTAGAGTTCATCCAGTAAGTTGTTACTTAACTGTTTTGAAAGAAGTGGAAGCTTTGAGCATTTTTCAAGCCTTTATTAGAATTGGCTTATGCTTTTAAATTTAGAATATAAAAACAAACAAAGAAAGAAAAAAACCACACATTTTCTTTGTTGAAAGGTAAAAAAACATAGATTTGAATATCGTTTCTAAAAGTGCAGGTTAGTCTTCTGAAATCAGGATACAGGTTTACCTTGGTCATCCAGTTCCCAGGTTTTCTGCGTTACTAATATTGCTAAGGTTTCTGTTAAGAAGTGTTTCATTCATGAGTTTATTATCATCTGAGGTCTGGGGTTTTGAATTATATGCAATATAATGGATTGGGGGAGGGGGAACGGATGACAATGGACACTGTATGAGGTACATCTTCAGTTAAGACTTATTTTTTTGACCAGCTGTAACATAGAAGTGGCCTTACCGTATGCTATGGTAGCCCACACTAAAATGTTTATTTATTGTGCTGAGTAAAAGCATGACATTATATATTACTTAAGTACTAGTTGGAAAGCTGGCACTGTAAAGGTAAGCAATTTCAGTGTCTTACCTCCAGGAAAGAAAAACGAATCCTTTAATAAGCAGGCATGTTAGGAATAGGGTGGCATTGCTGGAAAATAACACTTTATTTCTTACATGCCATTTAGAGCTCTGGTTGAGAGGAAAGGAATGGAGCTAATGAGTGATAAGGAGAAGAAGGTAAAACTTACAGGTAATAAAAATTGAGCTGACTGTAACAATGTGTTCCTAAACCAGCAGTCAGAAATCAATGCTCCATATGTATTTTCTCTTGTAACTGCAAGAGGCAGGCTTGAGGGAAGACACTGTGTTTTGAGCTCAGAGGGCAACTGAGCACCACAAAGCTGCTCACTCACCTTTTCCCCCAGCAATGAGAAGGGGAAAATAAGCAAAGGCTTGGCATTTGAGATAGGACAGAGAGGGGCAAATCACCTGTTATGGTCACAAGCAAAAGGCA